CCCAGGCGAGAGCCGTGGAGACAGATGTAGGTGGGCGGGTGTGATGTGCTGAGAGTGTGACAGTCAAATACTACAGACACCTACGTACTCTCTGCCCACAAAACTCTGTCACCATCGGGATTCTGATAGTGATCCACTCAAGAAACAACATCGACATCCCCACGGGGATCCCTCTGTCCTTTGACAACAGCCGCTCCCACCCCGTTCCCACCTGGCAATCACTGATCTGCTCTCCATTTCTAGAATTTTGTCATCTCAAGAATGTTATATACATAGAATCATACAGTATGTGGCCTTTCAGGATTTGCTTTTTCCCGTCAGCATCATTCTCTGGAGATTCACCCGGGTTGTAATGTGTATCAATAGTGTGTTCTTTTTTACTGCTCATTGGTTAGAATCCCATGGTATGGACCTACCACCGTTTAACCATTTCCCTATTGAAGGACACGTTGTAGTAGGCTGGATAATGGCTACCAGAGAAATCTAGTCCTAATCCCTGGAATCTGAGTCCCATTGATGGGATTTACTTAAGAATCTTGAATCCTGGATTATCTGGGTGAGCCCTAAATGGAATCACAAGTATCCTTCTAAGACAGAGGCAAAGGGAGACTTGACAAAAGAGGAGGTCATGTATCCATGGAGACAGACTGGAGTGATGTGGACACAAGCCAAGGGAAGATGGCGGCCACCCGGAGCTACCGGCGGCAAGGAACAGACTCTCCCCTACAGCCTAGTCTCCAGAGGGAGTACAGCTCTGCTGACATCTTAATCTCAGCCCAGGGAAGCTAATTTTTGGATTTCTGGCCTCCAGAACGGTGAGAGAATAGGTTTTAGTCCTTGTGAGCCACCATGTTTGTGGTAAAGGAGCAGGTATGCACAGAACAGATCCACGTTCCCGTCTCCCTCGGAATTTGGAGCCTTCCTTTGACAGCACGCCAGGGAAATTCTGGCATTTCGACCTCGGCGACTGTAGGCAGTCACCAAGTCACTAGGACCACCATTCCCAGGTTCTCACATTTCCTGTGGGAGCTACACCTGTGTCAACGCCTGGTCCACCGTATGTCATCCTGTTTGGCTTAATAGTCTTAGAATCCACTCCCATACTTGTTCCCCAGACTCCTACCAGCGTGAAGTGATATCCTGCAACTCTTCTTGCATAAGCACCTTCTCTTGGCCCCGATCCCGTACTTCCGTTTGGGAAGGAGAGAGGGCGGGGCATGCTATTATTTTCCAGGAAGATGGAAGACAGACCTAGATCCTGAGGATCAGTTATCCCTCAAGAGAGAATTGTCTTATAGGTGAAGTCATTGAAACCTTTTCTCCTGGGGGCCTGGGGGTGGGGTAAGACTATTTCCCTCGGACAGGAGGGGCTGCTTCTGTCGGCAACAAGACAAGATATCCCCCCAATGCTGCCTTAAGTTTTCTCCTGTTTCGCGCTTGCTTTCAATCTATGCTGTTTCCCGTGTGTGTACCCCAGATACCCAAAACTGGTCCCCCAACAGTCTCTGTAACCCCCGCCACAGCCCTCGATCCTCCCAAGCATTGTCCTTCATCAGTCCACACCAGCACTCGCGATAACGTGAGCAAATGTGAAGTCACAGGTATCCATTTCCACCAACAAGGAAGCTACTCGTCTATATCCATCCAAGCAAGAGAAGGGCCATCCGATCCCAGAATCCCACTTGGAGGCTGCTTCCCGGTGCTACTCATGGTTCGAATTACTTTTTATTGGGATTTGCAACAGGAAACAGATGGGCACACCCAAAGGATGGCGTGGGGAGTGCAGGCAAGGATGAAAGACACCTGTGAGAGATGGAGAAGCAGCTGCGCTAAGCACAAGCGAGATGTTTCTACCAAGAAGAAAATGCAGGAAGTGGCTCCTGACCCCGTGGGATCTACACCTGAAGACGAGGGTATGTTCGGAGACGCCCAGTGGACGCCTGAAACTGCAGGTCGTACAAATACGACAAATGGTGTTTGTTCCTACATGTACATACCTATGCTGAAGTTTAATTTGAAAAGTAAACACAGAGATGAACAATAATAATCTCTAATAATAACAACCTACCAACAGTAACTAAGGAGCAAACAGAACAATTAAAACAATGTACTGCAATACAAGTTACAGGAATGGGATCTCCCTCTCACCGCATCTTCTTGGGCTGCACTCACCCGTCTCGTGATGGGTGAGGTGAGATGCCTGCGCGGGATGACGCAAATGAGCGACATGGGCTCTGTGACGTCGTTAAGGCTCCTGACCTCCGACCTCCGATGATTCCTCCGGAGGTTCACCTGCTTCCCGTCCGGGCTGACGGCACAGCTGAAACGACACAAGCCAACTGCCGAGGAGGAGGGCTTACCGCCACTCCGAAGCGCTCACGCCCTGACCGCGTTCCCTTCCCGCCCGGTCTTCCCCTAATGGCCTCTCCCACTTGCAAAAGCCGACAAGGCAAGGGGACTCTGGTTACCACAGTGCAATAATGAACCTCTGGCGTACTGAGCGGGGTGAAGGGTGGACAGTGGGCTGGGGGGGCGCTTCCTGCTCATCCAACACGGGCAAGAGCACAGGAAGGGCGAAGTAGCCACAGAAGAAAGTCCTGTGCTTACCACCACGTCCTCGCCTATTGCGCAAGGCCCAGGCCGGGGAGGGCCTTACCCCCGGCACCGGGCACTCTCCTGAAGGTGCACTACGCTCAGCATTAGGCTCTCTCCACTTCTGCTTACATATTCCATAAAGGCTATTTTCTTTTCTCACAAAGTTGGTTCCTTGCCCTTTCCACGAAAAATGACCCTAAAAGAACAGTGACTACACTCCCAGGCAGGAAAATTCCTCTGAAGCCCTCCTTCGCCTCTTGCCTTAAGATGTGGGCAAGTTTGTTTGCTTCTCACAAATCTGTATTGCTTTTATTAAGAGTCTTTCCAAAACTTTAGATGGAAGGTGGGCAAGTGTAACTGCCAACACACCATCGCCCACCCCGAGAATTTCGGGTTCGGTGAGCTCGTTATTCCACATGGTTGCCACTTTTCAGTAACACCCAGAGATCCCATCCTGATGTTTCCATCCCAACAGGAAAACAGAGGATGGAAGTAGATGATGCACACTTCAGGAGTTAAGTGTGTACAGTGACAAGTGGGAGAGGTTGTTCCTGGAGAGGGAAGGCCGAAGGGGTGGCGGGGGCGGGTGCTCTTCAGCTGCGTGTGTGTTGGCGGGGGATAATTTGAAGAAAATACGGCAAAGCAGTTAAACACAGGGCATTACTTCATGATACCAGCACAAGCTACCAATGAAGGACCCTGGCGACATCATCCCTGCCCCGGGACGGCTTGTTAAAACATTCACCGGCTACCACTGGGTTTTGTAGAGTGCAGTTCAGACTCTGAATCTAGCCTATCTCGTTCATATATCGAGTCCACTATTCCACGGATGCGTGATTTTTAACAAGTTGCTTAATGTCACAGTATCTTTTACTCCATCTGTAAAATGGGGATGATACATCCTACTCTGTAAGGTTCTGAGGATTGCCTAGCTCGACACCTGGAAGCACTTCCCAAGGCAGTGAGCGGCTCTGTATGTGAATATCTTAAGACAAAGAAGCCACTTTACGTTAACTGGACATGTCCAAAGACCTTTGCTAACCTCAAACCCACAAACTCTATGACGACGTATTAGGTCCCCCATAAAATGAAATTCTCTATCTCCCCTTTGAGTCCTAGCAGATGGAATTGTTTTCAGGCATATTTTTGATCAAAGATGCATGTACCTCCATACTTATGTATAAACCTATTTCGTTTTCAAGTTCAGATGACAAATAGTTCAGCCAGTGAGGGGCTACCGAGTTACCCGAATCTAACTGGTTTCTGAGTTTGATACTGAGTAGTAAGGACAGTGATAAATTTAACTGAAATTTTTATCCACATCTGTTTGATCCCCGAGTTTTAAATTGCAAGGGGTATGTGAATATGCGCACAAACCTACATAGATCCATTTTTCAAATCGATCCATCAGTTCCTATGCAGGAAACTATTAACAGAAACCAATGTACCTTGAGCAGTATGGCATAATGCAAATGATGATTCTGGACTTAGCAAAACACAGTTAAGAATCAACAGCACTGTGGTCCAGCCCAGCAGAGGATTCAACAGTTAGGAGAAATACTGGGCTTCGGTGGCAAGAGGAATGAAGCATGTCAGCAGCAGCTAAATCTCTTACATCACTCAGGGCACTGCCCCTTCCTTGTATAAAGTCTGGAAAAATGTACCTCCCGTGTCCCCGCTGTCCTTAGGAAGCTACTTGAGGATACGCTAAGACAGGAGACAGAGGAAACGGGAAACCAGGGAATCCGACAAAGGGGAAAGACAGGCAACCCCCGGGGACAGTGAGAGGCGATTTCAGGATGACGGCTCCAGCAGCCACAGAAGGGACCAACGCCAGGCTGGACAAAACACATTGCCCCCGAAACGTTTCTTCGAGAAAATAGATGAAACTGAGAGTGCTGACACGTCTGAACATCTGGAGAAGATATGCATACATCTAGCAGAGTCTGGGGTCGCATTAGCAATAAGTACATAGAAAACTATGCAAACAAAGTCAACTGTGAACTCACGGAACCAAAAACGCCGTACGGGGTGAGAGTAACATCACATCAGTCCGCTGTGCACAGCGTTCCATAATCTTCCCCATCAGTCAATAATGAGAGCCCTGAATTACAACGTAATTCTGCTGGGGGGAGAAGGGAGCAGGAAGGAAGCATCCAATGGGTTGAGAGCAGAGGAACAAGCTTGACACTGGGGATTAATGCCCATTCAAGTAGAAGCGACAGAAGCATGTTGTCGGAAGATACGGTAAAGGTAAAACAAAGAGCCTGCTCTGGGGGTAGGAAATCGGGGAATGAGGTCAAGGGGGTGGTATTTTTCATTCAGAAAAACAAACCTATGTAACTCTGTAAACTACGTGTAACTTTAAGAAACAGAAAAACAAAACATGAAATCTAGCACAGTGCCTAGCTCATAAAAATTCACGGACGTTAACTGCTTTATTATCATGACAAGACAGATGACAGGTTTCCATTTCACCATCACATTCATGCTAGGGATAACAACGTTTCCTATTTCGGATGCTACTTGATCTTTTAAAAACACATTATTTACTATGCTTGGGATATTTGGGCATGCTTAATAAAATTAAAAAATTACAAAACATTCCAATTTTTTTTACTAAGCAAAGTATCTAATTTTATACAATTTACACACAATTTTTAATTTTAGTAACAAAAACAATGAAATTATTTCACTTCTTGATATTTAACAATAACAAGACTTTAACTCCCCAAGACATGCACTACAGCCATAGAAGAGATTCTGTCATCGATAGGATGGTCTTGGCATCTTATATAATATGTTCCCACTTTAAGTCCTATTTGCTAAATTAAAACAGGCAAACACAATTAACAAGTGGTTCATAAGGAATAAAAACAGCCAAAAACAACACCGATGTATCAATCTCATTTGTAATTAAAGAGATACAAATTTAAAAAATAAGGCAAAGATTAAATTAAAAAAAGGGCTCATATGTACAGTTGAGCAGGGAGAACGCAGGTGGGGCGAAGGGCTGGTCACACCTAACACTAACTGGAAGCGTGAATTACGGGGCCTCTCGGGAGCCGCCTGGCAATACTCATCACAGCCGTAAGAACGCTCAAGCCCTGTGAGCCGCTCGTAGAATTTGTGGTAAGGACCTAAGCAGGCATGTACTCACAACGTGGTTACGATGCATGAAAGCCACAGACAATCCCAAGCCCGGCCGGGTGGGCAGTCGAGCACCGCGGTGCACCTCGCTTGGGCCTCAGGCAGCGCGGTGGATGCCCCCCCCCCGAGGCTGCACCCCCAACCGCGCCTCGGCCTGTCCTTACCCAGAGTCCACTTCCCGCAGACTCAGGGATCTGAGTCAACAGGAACTGAGGGGAAAAGCGGGGATCTGGGCAGGTCCTCTTCACGGACAGAAATGAGATGTGAGAGGAGAAATGGCCTTTGCAGCCTGTTAGGTACAATTCTACGAACGTGAGCTGAAGTTACAAGAGCAGCTCGTGTACGAGGGAGAGAAGCTGAAGGCAAAACCAGTAAACTGAGGCTCAGGCAAACCAAGTGTCCTCAAGGGCCCCTGGGCGGTGTATGTGAGGCCAGGCAACTGAGGTTCGTTACGGTTGGGCACCGTCTGGTCTAAAGCATCCCGGTTCTAAGCACACAGCAGAAACCTGTCGGACCACAAACGCACGATGGTGACCAGGAGATGTGCACTTAGGACAACAAAAACATTACACAACGCTACGGTTCCATAAAAAAAAGGTGTACTAATATGGATTCATTTGCCTACAAGAAGGTCTAGAAAGATACTTCGGGTTTTAGGAATCATGATCGCTGAAAAGAATTTAAATGTTTCCTCTTTGCATATCTGCATTTTCTACTCTTTTCTACAACAAGCACTTATCACTTTTAGGATCCCGCTACCTTTTCTACTCCTTGTGTCAATCCAGTGCAACTGGGGGAAAGAAGAGGGACACATATTCTAGTGAGCTATCCTCAACCGACAGCCTGCTGTTTCTAATAGGAAAAGTTGTTTGTTTTTTGAAAACTGGTTTTTGAAATAAAATTTGATACTATCAGGCATTTATTTTGTGAATACAGAAGATTACAAACAGTTTTCATTTTCCTTTGTTACTCAGGGAATCCTATCATGACTTTGTACCATTTCGTATTGGAATTTCTTCTGTGAAGCAAAAACAGTCCCAAAATGAAGGATCTTCAGGGGTCATAGGAACAGCAGATGATATTAAATCATTAAAGGTGAGAATAGTAAACTGCCTCTGGGTTGGTTTAGAATCGTCTTCAGATGGAACCTAAAAGGGGAAAGAATAGATTACCTCATTGTTTTACTGCATGTTCATCTTACGATCAATTTCGTAATTAGGAAAAGGAGAAATCCAGCCAAGTTATTACAGGTCAGTAATATTAAGTTATAACAGAGCAGGATTTCTAGATAATTGTAATCACTGCTTGTGTTAGTGTTGCCAACGTAACAAGTTAAGAAAAGTTAACAACCTGATCCTTGAACTTTTTTGGTACATAACCCATGGTATTTGTTTCAAACGTAGATTTCTGAGCCACACATCCAAAAATTCTGATGGATGAGTTAAAAGGATCCCCCAAATACGTCATTTTAATAAGCAGCTAGGTTTTTCTGATGAGGAGGGCCACAATGCAAACTTCTGAGAACTCTCTGGAGGGTAGATCTGATAAAGTCCCCATCGCCGCACAAGACACGCAGCACCTCTACGGGAAACGATTCACTCAACCCTCAAGGTGAACACTGTCTCGTGTTCTCAGACAGAGCCCCAGTCCACACCTGAACCCAGTGGGGACCTTCTGTACTGTCCCATCTCCTCTGGGAGGGCAGGAGGTGGATTTCATACTGTGCTCTAACAAGGCCCAGGACGATTTTACCTGATTTACGTCTCACAACTATGCTGATGGTGTGGTTATCTCAATTTTATAGATGGGGAAACTGAGGCTCAGGAGGATCCAGCACTCCGTGCCAGCTCACACCCAGGTTACCATGGCAGCCTTGGGCCTGGGAGCACGCTCGTCCTCGAGGGACAGAGAGCACACAGCGCTCTGCAGTGTGGAACTGAGACTTACCCACGAGGACAGGCAACCTGGGCCAGAACAGCTTCAGCTAACACCCCTTGTAACTAAGCCACGAAGACATTAAATGCTCGGCTGATGGATCAAGAGCAGGGTCGGTGTACGGAGCTATTGTTCTAGAGGTAATGATGCACACAGACCAGTCATGCCATGGCGCCCCACACGGGCTCCCTAAAACAGGGACATGCACACAGCTCCGATTCGTCTAACATTACCGGGGATTCCTTAAAACATCATTTCCGCAGAATCACAACTATGTATAGGGAGGCTGAGCGTCCTTGACCGGGAGGGGGTTTTTGTTTCATTTCCTCACGTAACAGTTAAGAGCAGAAGCAAGCAAACGCAGACTGACGGGGAGGACGGAGACCAGTGCTCTGCCCCACAGCCCCCAGGCGTGTGAGCCTGTAACTAGATTGCTACAAAAGGGGGAGGGGGTTCGACCTGCCAGGTGATGCCACTGCTCAACACCCATCAGCTGGTACCTTCCACCCAGCCCCAGTTCACCAGGAAGTAAACCACTGTTAAGGGGACTAAGACTGGTTATCTTGAGCTTCTACTGAAACGTAAGTACTAGGACAGTACTATCAAAATGTCTTCTTTGTAATAAATATTCTTGAGTATGAAGAAACAGGTAACACGCTTTTAAAAATTTTCTGTGAAATCCCAGATGATCTTAAGGATTTGATAATGAAAAACACTTCTAAATCTATAATCTTAAACACCTCTAACCTGATAGAAACCAGATGACTGTTTCCATCAATAAAGAACAAACTCCACATTGATTCATGCGTTTTAGAAAAAAGTAAGAGAAATCTTAAAATCTTACAACCTGATGCCTAGATCCATCTGGTTTCCTAAGAGCCACTGCAACAAAATGGTGCTCGTCAATTTTGCTTTCCTGAAAAAAAAAGGTAGTTAATGACATCACTAAATGTGCAAATTCAGATGTACTTCTGTATTTTTCGATCTCCTTTCCCTCTCTCTCCGTATACACAGGCACGCACATACACCCCCTACTCCCCTCACCCATTTACACCATCGCCTGGACACTCTCTCATGTACCCACACGAGTTAACAGCTTCAGTAAATTTACATGGAAAGAAGAGTTAAATCTACTGCCTGTACTAAAGTGTTTGTGACTGAATCCAGTAAAGTCCCTTTACAGCCCTTCCCCACCAGAGCCCACCGAGGGTCAAAGCCTGCTTTCAGTTGTCCTGTCTTGCTAGCCTTTGTGTCTTTCATGACAGTATTTTAAAAACATATGATCCACTACTGTCCCTCCTTTTTGTAACAGAACATTGCACATTTCTGGTTGGTCTGATTACACGTTTTCGGCCAGAAAACGACCAAGATGGACAGTCCTATCTGGCCGCACATTGAGATAGTCCTTGGCCATCACTGGTGTTTATTTTGCATGTACTTCAGGTGCACATGTAAAAACCTCAGACTGCAACCCTGGTTTGTACGCATTTCATGAACTACAGCCCCTGGGAACTCCATGGAAACTCACAGGTAAGCCTGAAAGAACACGCAGTTTTCTGTCTTCCGCTAGGTCTGAAACAACGGGGATGGGGCCTAGAATAGGATATTGAGGCAGTTACCTCAATATCTTTACAAACTATTAAAAACTATTAAAACCACCCAAACTATTAAAGTTTCCAATGAAAAGCCACCTTACTAAGGCATTCCTTCGTAAGATACCAGTTTGAAACAGGAAACTACAATCAGAAATAGGATACTCATAACTTCACACCTTAAGGTACCCAAATTAGCAAAAAAATAAATGAGATTCACTAAGGACAGGTATATTTAAAAGAAAAAAAAAGTAGCTGAGTGTCAGAAGACTTAACAGGTCAAACGTGTTTCCCTTTAACTAAAAGCAAGCTCACAATATTTGTTATTATAGACAAAACTGCCCTTTTTTGATACATGGTCTTCCATTTTTCACACTGAATATACTGATCACGTGCCCATCACAGTGCAGACACGTTTCGGCTGCAACCACTTCTACAAAACCACTCAGGTGGCGACTTCTGTGGTGTCTGCATCTGAGCGGAATGTCAGGAGGCGTGGGCACCCGCCAGTGTGCACTCCGCCCGTCCGCTGAAGCACCAGGACGCCCTGCTCCACCTACCCACACACCTGCCCTGCCGGAAGCCACAACTCAGTACACTGGTCACACAATAAAGCTCCCCCATCTCCTCTGACCTCATCGGCACCACGTAAATAGGAAATATGACAGCAAATACGAAGAAACCACTTCCCAATGAATGACTCAGTCACGGCACATCCACACTCAACGGATCACTGTGAGGGGAGGGACTCTGCCGTTAAGTCCTTTCTGTCAAGGACAATGCATATAATAAATGTCAGTTGAAACAAAAAAAATGAAACCAGCAACTTAGCTACTTAAACGACGTTCATTCAGTGCTACTGAATTTAAGATTTAACTTCTAAGACTTCCTAAATTTTCAAGACTTTCCTAAGCTTATAACTTTTATCCATAACATTTTTGTGAATACCAGAACTTCCCTATAATCTCCAGCAAGCCAAAAGGGAGCACGAACATTTTGTCTTTTTAGGATAGTTTAGCGTTAGATTACGAAGATTAATCTGCTTCAGTGAGAGCACATGTTACTTTCTTAGTTACATAACCCATCTTATAAACAAAGTTTAAGCTATAACTTAAAATTCTCAAATTTTACAATTTTTTTTTCAATGGCAAAGCTGAAAATATATCTGTCCTAAATATTAACATTTCTACTTCTTTAAGCACTTTCCTTTCAATGCAAAGAATTTCTATTTCCTCTAACCTCATCATTGGAACTTTTTGGTGGTGACCTTCCTAACAGCAACTGGTTATGGAAACTGAGAGCCTATAAAAAAGGATATCCCTCTTGACCTAACATTTCATTTTTCTAAAGCATTATTTTTCCAGGTGTGAGATACAATATTCGGGTAAGTAGAAAGTCCTCTGTATTTGTTACAATAAATAATGGATTCTTGATTATGTCTAAGCTAGCATTTTCAGTCTATAATAAACTGAGCCGGGTCATATAGAAAGGAAAAAGTAAAAGATAAAAAATTTCTGAGCTTTCGGGGCACCTGGGTGACTCAGTCGTTAAGCGTCTGCCTTCGGCTCAGGTCATGATCCCAGGGTCCTGGGATCGAGCCCCGCATCGGGCTCCCTGCTCGGCGG